AGTTGTTCGCGGATTAGTTGCGAGTTTAAGTGCGAGCCTTAAACGCTCAGTGCTGTGTCCATGTGGCGAACAACGCTCCCAAAATGAAGAGGCTCCTGATTTTCGCACTTTTTCGACCCCTGCTTCTCAGCGCGATCGTAAGGGAGAAAAGCAGCGAACGCCTTCCGGTTTCGCCTTTTAACACTGCCAGAAATCTGTCACGTCATCGGCATGAAGACGGATATTTGTATAACGAACCTCACGAGGGTCATGTCGCCATTTTGAAGAGGCAAGTGAACCAGGGTAAGCGGAACTTTTAAACCATAATATTTAGTTATACTACAGACTAAAGGGTGTTATTTTTAAGCTTTATATAATGTTTTTAAGAAAACTGGGAAATCTACACTAATGCTATCCGTCCAGGTGAGTTATACGCTCCGTATATCGAGCTAATCGTCAGAATAAGTCGAATTATGATCTAAAACGTGTTCATTAACTTTTTTTTTTTAAATAGTGAAGACAAACGTATGACTCTATTCAGAAACTTGCAGAGCGTCATCAATGATTACCAAATCAGTGATTGTGAGAAACACTTGGAAAGCGTGGCAAGAGCGGTGCTGCGCTAAGGTTACCAACGTTTGCAGACTGTAACGTTTCCGGAACACTGTATAATGCTCCTCGTGCCATATAGTTTTAGAAAGTGCGCTGACCTCATGGTTTTCGATGATGCCAAAACAAAAATCATCTTGAAAGAATACCCTTAAATTTACCAGTGAAAATGCTAACTACTCCAACGTAATTCCGAACCTAATTATACGGAATATTATTAGTTTTCAGATATAGGCCCTTTGACATCAACCAATAAAAAATCACCCATTTTCCCTGTGAAATGCGCACTTTTTTGCAGGAGCGATTTAACCCGTGTTTTGAGAAGCACCCTGTATATTCTTCTTTCGTATGATTGCTGTTTTTTTCTATTGGGCTTAAAGAGTACAGGCCGAAGTGTGACACCAAATATGGTGTCGTAAATTTTTCTAAATTCTAAACCGCTCAGGCTAGAACAAACTGTTGATGTACCTCCAGCAGCAACCCGCTAGACTAGATTGACAGTCGATGAATGAATCACGTCCTGCAGTGGCCTCTTAAATCTCGACATACTCTTATTCGACAAAAATGCGCCTCGAAAATTGAAGTAAAAAAATTAAATCATAAACCAAGTTGTCCCATTGAATAATCAAATCTGTGAGCTTTTTGTGTCCTCATTACATCGCCCACGCCACTACGCCTGAAAAAACATTTCTCTTTCTGCTCGGAGTAAGAACAAGAAATTGAGTCTTACCATTCATTTATTAAGAGTGAGAATGGATTATTTCCACGAACGCTCTTTGTGTTTTTTCAGTGATGCGCTCGCAGCCACCTTGTTGTGAAATATAAGTGAGTGTTCGTGGCTACGCGAGTTGAAAGGGTGGTGCTGGCATCATTCTGTTATTCTATAGTCGATTCCCGATCAGTCACAAGCCTATGTAACACGTAGTGCACAGTTGTCGGCAATCCGGTGGATTCTGACTGCCAAACTCGTTAGCAGGTTGCAGACAGCACGCGAGGCAGGTAGGCTGAATGAAGCAGTTTGGCGAAAACAGTGTCCCTTTTCGTTTGTTTTAGATGGCGCTAGCACATTATCTATATATGTAAACTAGCTATTTAAAAGCCACATTTTATTATATCTCCATGCTCACTGAATTGCTTTTTTTTTTTACATTCTGCTACTGATTTTAACATTCTGACAAAGACGAATAAAGTACCTGCCTTAAAATTTGTTGCACGAAATTATTTTAATTTATAATTTTTCCACGCCTTTTCGAATGTAGTTGCTAAAACGACCAATCCTTGGGAAAAAAATGAAACACGTATTAACTGCCAAATTACTGTGATAACGTCACTTTGAAATGTTTTTAGCACTCTGAACGCTGAAATCATTCAGCTGTTTAAATCAGCCAGACAAGCACGTGAGGCCATAATTTTACCATAGCCTCCTCTATACTGGCAAAGCCTGGCAAGTCACCACTAGACGCGGCCACCGAAAGTGAAACGGTAGAGCGGCATGTAACGGGCGACACGCTGCAGCGAGACGCCAAAACACACTTGTTCCGAGTGATGGAATGTTCCTCGGGCCACCGCTTCTTTTCTCGTGGAGTTTGAAAACCATGTTTCGGGTCCTCGCCGCTGCAAAAGCTGTGCGCTGATTACCAGACTCCCAGAGAAATGCTCTGTGCTACCAGGTCTTCGCGCTCCAAATCTGCGACCGGGCACTCTATGGCTCCATCATCGAACTGCCAGGCTTTATGAATATAGAGGAGGTATAATTTTACCTATGTTCCGCGTTTACGAACGCAACTTCCGACACGAATAAAGCCGTATATTCGAAACCGATCGCCGCACACTTTTCACGACTAACAATTGTAGCTCTATCTTTAGTGTATCGGGCTCATTTGCAAATCTCCGCGTCAAATGACCTAGCCATGTAGAACAGTCAGTCGCCACCCCAATAGTGGCTGACTCCTGGAGATGTCAGCAGAACAAAACAAATACAGTCGGTTACTAATTCGGGCAACCAAACCACAATCCATCTGACTTTGCATAACAAAAAGCGAACGTATCGTAATTAGTTTTGCAACAATGAAACGTGCTCAGACTGGCAGGAGCGACGCGGTATCCTTCAAAATGGCGTCGGGGGCTCCTTTCCGTGCGACAGATGGCGCTTTTGTATCAAAAGGGTCTAAATGGCCCCGCTATGCACCGAGGAAGCCAATCATTTGTCTTCTTCGAATAAATTCAGCCAATCGGGATCCCCGTCAGATCCATGCTCCAATACGCAAACGGTATACCGTTCGCCCTGTTCACTTACGCAACTCAATAGGGGCCTTCATTCAAACCGTTACCGTGTTCCGCTTACCGTATACTATCGGAGCCTTTGAAGCATGCTTTTAAGCTCGAGCCCGAGTGATACCGTGTCCGCGGTGCGCGCGCTTAAAAGCATGCTTCAAAGGCTCCGATAATGCGGTATACGCGGAACGGGGTAACTGTTTGCTAAAAATCCCTTTTAAAAGAAGGTAACGTTTTAATACCGTATCGGGAATAGATGCCTCGGGTCAGTAAGCAAGCAGCAATTTCTGAAAGTGTATACGGCGGCATATACCGGAATTTATCGCGCATGCCCTGCCATGTATTTATAAAAAAGGCCTGCGCGTTTACTTTCCCGAAAAGCACGTTGAAGGAAACCTCTGCGGTATGCCGAACGAGACGATCCAACGACCGCTCGATCGTTGTCCAGTGGGAACGAGAAAATTGTGCAATCAATAATCAGCAAATGAGAAGTTAAATATCACATATCCATGTACCCAAAACAACGAGCTTGCGCGGGGTCAACTGAACATGACGTTTGCCGGCTCAATTTCGCAGAGCAGCGCGCTGCCTTAAATACAAATGCTGTTGGAGCATCAGCATTCGAAACTTTCAGTAGATCATTCCTCTAACTCCGATAAATATAGACGATACTTCGACTGCTGCTTTGAGCAAGTATCGTATGATTTTACGAGCGCTAAAACAATCTACAAAAATCACCCACTATCCTTTGTTATGCTTGGCAGTGTCTAATTACCTTGCGTTCCGGGGAAGTACTACTTTGAAGAGACTTGATCAACAAAGTGTCGTCTTTCATGTCACGTTGTAAAAGCTCCTAACACGAAAATAAATAACTTTTAGTTGCACACCCTTAAGCCGATGTCACACACATCATACAAAAGACAGTCTGCAAAGGCGAGTCACCGCGATATCTGTGGTTCGAATGCCGCGTGCCAAGTTTTCTCCTTGACCTCATTGCCATGCGGCATTCGAAGCACGGATCTCGCGGTGACTCGCGTTGAAAACTGTATGCGGACTGTCCTTTGTAGGATGTATAAGCAGTGTGACCCTGGCTTTATGAGTCTGTAAGCAATTAACCTTTGGATTGAATTTCACGCATAGTAGGATGAGAATATTTTCATTGTATCTTGCTTTTGTAGACAAAAAAAAACCCTTTAAATTCAAACTGAGTAAAAAAAGATGTGTACACTAATTGGCACAATAATTACGAAATATATGAGCAACACCTTACTTGAATGCTTTCAAATTTTTGGATACATATTTCGCTGCACACACCTTCGACAGCTGCGCACTTGCTTTCGTAGCTGCTAATTCTAAGAATCAGCGCCGCTTTAAAAATATGTTACGATTCTCAAAAGTATACTACATAGAACCAAACACAAGTTTTATACTCAAAGATATTGGTACTCTACAGATCGTTTCAAATCTGTTTTGTTTGCTCTGTTGATTAGGGCAACACGCTTCCTGCATTTGCTTACAATTGTAGCGATGTCATATCATTTACAAAACAATGTGAACTGCATAATCTATGTGAGTTACCAGCGTTTTTAATGTTAGTTTCTTCGTCACGTTGATGATTTTTTTTGTAACATGCACCATTTTTGTTTTGGCCTGACGGCTGGCAGAATCTATCAATAATAATAAAAAAAAAAAAACGAATGTGCACGTTGAAAGAATGGACGTTCTTGTTTTTTTATGCACCCATAACGTTTCTTTTGCTGTTTCATATTACCAAGTGGAACCTTCGCAATAACACCTTCAGCCCGTTAAAGAGGGGCAGTGAAGAAATATTGTAATATTTAATTGAACGGTTTTAAGAGTTATCGGAGAATCACAAAAATAGTGACCAAAGGGTATTTTACACTGCCGAACCTTTCATCACCAATTGGTTAGAAGAAAGTTAAGCGATTCTGCAGGTGACATCGCCTGGTGGCGGGAGCCGTTCTTGTCGGCAAATGCTGCAGTCTCATTGGCCACTCAGTTACAATGAGATGCCTGAGACTCACCACGCCCTACATTTCTTCAGCTTGCAGAGAATATTGTTATAGTTGACATCTTACCCATTAGAGACAACCACGGACGATCGCAGGGGATTCTGTATGCGTCAGTAAAACTGTCCTAATGTGGGTCTGGATTTAGTTCCTTTACCTTCGTTTCTTCCCCTTTGTTGTCGAAGCGGAAGTAATAACGTTTCACTGCAATCCCGCAGGTGTCAACCATGGTAACAACCCCAACCCTCCAGGAGGTGGTCGGTTCGGAGTACCCTATCCGCCGGGAAGAATACCCAAAATTGTGATAACAAGTAAGTATCTCTCCTTCTTTCGCATGACGTTTGGTGAAGTTCTTGCGGATTGATTATGTATTGAAGAAGAAAAAAAATCTACTCTTTGCAGCTGTGCTACTTGTGTAGGCTTGTTACATGTTGTGGAGGTCGTCAAAGGTTGTCACACGTTGTGGACCCACCCGCGGGCTTTACGTTTCGAGCAGCTGACTGGTTGGCTTGCCGCAGTTTTGGCGACAAACCAACCAGTAACCGGTGACGCGTTACAAGTAACGGCATTACCGGTAACACGTTAGTTTTTTATAACAAGTAACGTACTCGCTATCTTTTCAAAACAGTAACGGGTAACGTATTAACGTTACTTATTTCGAGTAACAGGTAACGGAGTTACGTTGCTCCTCTCTTTTTTATTCCGAAGACTAAAAAAAAATCACACTTTATCTTTTTTGTGTTTTTAGGCACCAAGTTATGTGAATTTGTGTTTTTCGCGTTCTTTTTAGTTGTTTTTTTAGTTTTTTCTTTCGAGTATTTAGGTGAAACTGTATAAAAGGTTAAGTAATTACCTTTAATTCCTGCATTAACATAATATTTCTTAAAATACTCCCCTTATACATAGGTGTGAAGTCACAAGAGTAAAACGTGTCAATTCTTAATTGAACATGTAACGCAAAAGTAACATGCTTTACTTTTGATCGGTAATGGTAGCGCGTTAATTTTATTTGCAAGTAACGAGTAACGTCTTTCGTTACCTTTTTCTATAACGCCTACAACACTGGTCTGCCGTGAGAGGGGAGGGGTAAGCCGCACCAGTAACTAAGTATATCCACTGCAGAAACGAAACATTCTGGGCATGACAATTACTGTAACGGGAAATGTTACCTGCATACCTTAACTGAGCTTGTAATTGATGAGTGCGCGCTGATAGCTTGAACGACCGAGGTCCTTCTTCGTGGTTGTGAAGGAAACGGATGCCATCGAGTTTTCCCGCGCGCACAAAACGAGCTGCTGATTTCGCGCGCCAAAGCAAGCCGGCCTTCTGGTATCGATCAAGACCGTCGAAACCCGAATATACTCCGTTTCACCTTACGATGGACAGCAGCGGACGCTACGAGCCATTTCAATGTCGTGTGAGTGTCACGTGAACTTCGGGAGAGACGCAGCAATGCGCGCGGTACGTAGTTACGTGATTTGTACGCAGTGCTCGTATCGCTGGGATGGCTCCTGAGGTCCGCTGCGGTCCATCGCGATTAAGTGATGTTGAGCAGAAAAGTAGCCTCACGGAAAATCTTCATACACGCACATTTGAATAGAATGTAATAAAAATATTGTGTTTGTTTTAAAGTCAGAAAAACTAAGAAGGGCGAGGGAAGTATTTTAGTTTTCTAGGCTAGGTGGCGCGAGCTACCGCCCGTTATAAATATAGCAATTAGCATTCATTCATTCATGTGGTAGAGGGATACCCGAAACTAGACGGAGCTGAACGGAGCAACGCAACGACGCGTCGGAAGCCATGTGTCGCGAACCGTCCTGTGCGGCGATTTGAAGCAGCCATCTTCCCGACAGTTCGCACGCCGGATCGGACAGTTTTGACGCGCATGTGTTTCGCGCTTTTGGCCTCATTCTCCAACGCCCGACATCTGCTGTATATACCAACTATCTTCCAAGCACAAGACAACGCGCATCCTTATAGGCGGGGACTTTAATATCCCCCACACCACCTGGGGCTACCTGCGCAACGGCAGATCCGAAAGACAGATATACGGGCTCACTTGCAACAACCGCATGAGGCTGGCCAACGCTATAGACCATTTGCTGTATTACTCAAGCATCAAGGTGAATGCAGGGATTGGTGTTCCACGCGCCACACGTGCACGCCTTCCCCGTATAAAAGATTCGAAGTAAATAACCAAAATAAAGCGTTGACGAACGCGCGTGCAAGATGCCATTTGATTAAAGTATTTGGTTTAGAAAATTTACTACTTCTGAAGCCAGCACGTGCGGCGCGTGGAACACCAATCCCTGCATTCTCCTTGATGCTTGGGTAATATAGCAGAAGGTATATTGGTGACGTAAGCGATCGAAAGTGTCGCTGTGATCGGCCCACCACAATTGGCAAAATGCTGACTATGACGTCAGCAAAGGATTTCTCAGCGACGCAAATAGAAGGAATGTAAGAAGTTATTTTATGACGGGGTTGGATGTGTTGGTTTCAGAGCGCTATGATTTCAGGCTTCCACCCGCTCATTACAAACACCATTGAACTTGTTGTTCACAAGATAATGACGTCACGAAAGGTAACCAAACGAGGGCGCAACCGAAACATCTCGCCGCTAATAGAACATCCCACACGCATTGGCAGTAGTGTTGAACGTGATATGAATACGGACTTAAGGTAGACGACACGATTCACGAACGGGACGTGGACCAACACTTTCGACTCCCTCGGCAGCGTCCATTTTATTCTATAAATACAGTTGTACACAAGTAAATCATGGTCGCCGAGCGTGGACAAGCGCGATGGTTACCGTCAACCCAACTTCAAGTGGGAAAAAGTCAGGGGAGACCTGCAGAACTGCCCCTGTTACTACACTTGCGGAATGGGATAGCACCATCAGCACGGCGTGTGAGACTCACACTTCTTATTTCACCGCCTCACCACAAACCCCGCAAGTAAACAGGCACCTCTTCGCGCTATAGAACAAGTGGCCGTCTGTCATGAAGAACAAGCGCCGCCGCAAACACGACAACTCATTACAATAGGCTCCAGATGCGGCGACGGCAAAAGCCCAAGAGTACGCGTGGGAGCTCGTCAGTAGATTTTGGATTGACACGTGCGAACGGATAAACTTCCACCTCCACAACCCACAAACGTGGCGAATCATCGATTCGCTCCTTGGAAACAAACGCCACCGAAACATAGTGCCCAACATCCTACTAAGACAGAACATATCTAAACAACAGTTCGCAGAACGGGCTTTTGCGCACTTTTTTTCCCATAGGTCACCCCTGAGTCACAAGCGGCTACGGACGCCCCCTTTTGGCTCCACGAGCTCAACAAAGCATTAGACGAAATAAAACACACCAGCGCTCCGGGTCCGGACCACATCACGTACTCAATGCTGATAAATCTACACACTGCACAGAGGAAGCACTCCTCGAGTTCATCAAAGACGCGTGGGAAACCGGTCGAATTCAACCCAAGTGGCAAATCGTAAACATCCTACCGATGCCTAAGTCGGGAAAGTCACCTGATGAGGTCGTCGAATCCCGGAGAAAAGCTCACCGGAGAAAAGCTCACCGCAAAACCGGCGGATGCGGAGAAAAGCTCACCGGCCCTTGAGCGTATGCATAGAAACGCTCACCGATTTTTTTTTCTTCTTTTTATATGGAGGCTGCTGGATCATGCGTAACATATTTCAATTTATTATCATTAAAATTCCTCAGCTTTGTAACAAAGAAAATGTCCTTTTTTGTATTATTCGTCAAGCTTATTGGGTATATTGCTCCCAAATTAATAATTGCGGGCGAGTGTTTTTTGCGGCTAACTCTCTAGGCAACTAAAGAATTAACTGAAAACTTCATGAACTAGAAGAACAGGAAAAAGTACGAAAACTTAATAATGTCTGCCTAAAACCTAAAAATCAGAACTTTAAATGCCGAAAATCCGAAAGTGCATGCGCAACAACGCGGTGCCTTAAATTCTCTTTGAAGCTTTTTTTAACCTTTGAAGACAGGATAAAACAGTCAATAGGATATCGAGGCTTCTTTCTTCCATGAACATGCACGTTTTCTAGCCGTTCGTGCTGGTGGGTGCTTCCACACCTTGCCTTTGTGTGATAGTGCCTTTTTACGGTGAGCCACCCATGACCTTTAAGCTGCACACTGTCACCATTGTTACTTGTGACCTATGCAAGAACTAGTCTTCTCTAAGGTAGCGAATATGGCGAGTTGGTTAACGTTATACATGATAAAAAGCGCTCACACGACAACGACGGAGTGAAGACAACAAACACGACAGGACGAAGCTGTTTTCGCAGCTGAAGTTTTGCTAGTTAAATTAACAGAAAGAAAACAGCTTAGCCGACACTGATTTTATCAACACCTACTTATCTATTAGGCACTACGCAATATTTGGAGCTAAAACGTTTTACACACCGCTATTCATATTAGCTCGCAAAGAACAAACCTCTTTATTTGACAGAGCTACCGATGGCGCACTGTCACTTGTAAACAAATTGTTGTCTTTCTTACCGGTGAGCGATGTTCTGATTTTATACCCTTGCAGCTTCATTAATATACAAATTGGGTGATCACTAATATCTAAAAATTTAGTAAATATGCCCAATGAACTTCAATGATATCACAAAAAAGGGGACATATTTTTAATGAAGTGACGAATGCGCATTGTGTTAAATTACCACGTTTGACGCAGAATCCGCTAAGTTAAAGAGAAAATCGATGAGCTTTTCTCCGCATCCGCTCAAAGCGCAGTGAGCTTTTCTCCGCATCTGCCGGTTTCGTGGTGAGCTTTTCTCCGGTGAGCTTTTCTCCGCCGCCCGAGGTCGCCAACCTGAGGCCAATCTCTCTCACCTCATGCGTTGACAAGACAATGGAGAAAATGGCGCTCGAACGGATCGAATGGCACCTGGAGACTGAACGCGCTTTGTGTTACACCATGACGGGAGGTCGCAAACATGTTTCGACCCAGGACACTTTACTTTGGAATCAAGATGACACACTCGCGCACCCTAGCGCAGCACAAACACGCACCGTCGTCCGCATCGACATGCGTAAAGCATTTGACTATACTGGCTCACGACCCCGTCCTTCAGAAAGCGCGGGAGGTCAATCTGGGACCCCGCATGGTCCGCTACTTCACCTCCTTCCTGAAATCGAACTACATCCAGCTAAAGGTTGACGACTACACCAGCCGCACCCACTGAATCACGGAAGGACTCCCTCAAGGAGCGTTTACCCTCTCCGACCCTCTTTAACCTTGCCTTAAAGGATTTTCCGCCTCTTCTCATGGCGATCTCTGTCCTCATATTTGCACTCTATGCAGAAGACGTCACGTTGTTGTGCCATAAGGCGCCTCGTCTTGTTTACTCTCCTCTTTGTCCTGTAGTTTTTTTTTTTTTTGTCGCTTTATATTCTGAACATGAACCAACTCGCCCAGATTTCCACTTTGCTCATTAGGGACTCCCCGGGTAACCCAAAAACAATACTCCAGAAGGGCTTGGGCACGATACATGCATACTTGCAAACGATCACACTCACCTCGCCTTCTGAAAAAACGGAATACGTAGTCCTACTCAATTCGAACACACAGAGAGGAGACCTCCGAAGGAAAGGAGTAGAAAGAGTTGAATTCGAGACTTTCGCTCTCAAATTTAACTCTTTCTCGTGGGACAAGCTGTTCCACGGAAAACGCAAATCCGAACCCTAGGACTCTATTTAGACCAGAACGGATTGGGACGTACTTGGTTCCACCGCACCGCAAACCAATGCGCCCACATACTACGCACCTCGAACGCGTGTCGAGAAGGCCGTACGACCTCAAAGAACACACGGGACGACAAGTGATCGAAGCTCTCCTGATCAGTCGCACAATGTACGGCCTCCCCTACCACTCGCTCACCAAAGCACAGACCAAACAACTGAAAGCGTTCCTTCGAAAAGCGTCCCGAGTCATCAGTGGCCTTCCCAAATACACCCCTAACGAACAACTGCACTCCACGTTGACACTGAACACCCTCGAGGAGCGTGTTAACCTCGCCAGGGCGGCAGAGATATAGCGACTTCAGGCCTCCAAGCAAGGGTGCGAGATCCTGGAGGACCCGAGCTACTACAACTCCCAACGCCCACCCAGCCCCCCGGAACCACCCCCGTTGACACCGTCGCTACCTATCACATACCTTTCTCTCCCCAGACATATTAACTCCGACAACGGCAAGCAAAAAAAAAAAAGGCCTGTCGAGCTGCTCGCCTCGTCGCGACACACGACGCCAGCATCATTTACACGGATGCTGCACATAACTCCGAAACTCAAGAAAGCGTGGTGGCGATTGCGGAGGAGGCAGACAGCCACACCTCCTTCTACCACAACTGTACGTCGAGCACAGATCTCGAAATCCAAGCCATCCTGACGGCAGCCGACCTACACACTGATACCAAATACGATATAGCTTCGCCAATACTGGAAACTCCTCCGAAAACACATAGGAGCGGCGGCGAACGTGACAGTGGCGCCTCTAGCGGACTCGGAGTCTACGGAAGCAGTCGTCGCAATGGAAAAGTATAGGCTCCGCGACGTCCTCGAGCTTTACAAGCCCCGTATCGTCACCCTAACAGCAGAAACAATTTATTACGGTCAGTTCGCTTGCAAAGCGGAATCCACTGATCGCAACTGCAACGACAATCGAATAACAACGCGCGCATAAACAAAGATAGAGCAGTTTATTTAGCGGTCTCAAACGCCTCTCAGGGGATCACACGCGTTTGAAACGCGTCTGGGAAGCGGAAAAAAGGCGTTTAGCTACTCGAACTACGTCGTAATCGTTAAAACATGCAAAAACGACATGTTAATAATACCAGAGCAAGCGCACGAGCTGCTGGAGCATAAAAACAAAACAAAAAGTAAGGATAAAAATGAACGTGCAAACACTTACCGAACTTTGCAGAAAAAATGGTGTCGCCATTCCCGACGAAAATAAGAAGAAACGGGAAAGAGAAGCGAACAACGGCGAATAAAACAAAGAAGCTAGCAAAAAACTATTTCAACGACGACGATCGTTGCGGCAATTATAGAAAAAAAGAAAGAAAAATGGAAAGCAGCAAATGAATAGCTGGTGGTCGCCACCGGTGTTGAGTCCACGACAAACAAAGCGGAAGCAACAGACGAAACTAATGAAAAAAGAAGAAAGCGACCCTTTTTTTTTCAGCTGCTTGTTGTACATTTCTTTATTTGCTTTCGCGGCGTAGGTACGAACTAAAAACAAAACAGGGTAAATAAATAACGTAGTGCAGCTCACACTGCCCGGTAAAAAGAGTCGCAGAAATGTTTTGGTTGCAGGCAGCAATCTTCTATATGTGCTAGCAGTGAGTAACCTTTTTTTGGTTTCGAATTTCTTTTTCCAGTGACTTTGGCGGGTCGTTCGTTCGCTCGCTTGACGAAGCAGTTTAAAAGTGCATTCAAGTACTTGTTGACGTAGGTGTCCGTAGGTTGACGTAGGAAGCAGAAGAAAGATTTTCCACCACATCGCACAAACTTATTCTTGCAATGGTAGGCACCACATCGCACAAACTTGTTCTTGAATGCGGCGGGTTGATCAACAAACGATGACCCGTAGCAGACGTGCTGGCCGGAGTACACAAATAAAATTCGAATAAAAATGGGTAACGAGCTTACACTTCTTAATATATTTAATAAATATCAAAAAGCACGTATGACGATTTTGGATTAGAAACTCAATCGAAGGCGAAAATAGAAGGTTATCGCAGAGGACAGTGGAAGAAAACAACAACAACAACAGCAAAGTTGCAGACGGCCCTCAAAATGCCCGGGCCTAGCGCAGACGAACCAGGGTAGTAAGCGCCGAAGCGAAGGAAAGGGAGTAAAAACTAAGCCAAGCAAAGCAAGGATACCCGATTGTTTACACGTCTGGCAAAAAAAAAAAAAAAAAAAAAAACGAAAAGCGAACAAAAAATATACACAGCAACATATAAGCAGGAGGAAGAAATAACGCGGCAGAGTGGCGTCGCCTCAAAAATATAAAAGAAAGAAGACTCAAAAATGGAAAGAGTGGAGACGGTTCAACGGGTGTCGGCCTTTGTCGTAGAAGTAAAGAAGCAGCGAAGCAGAAGATGTTGGTCGTCCCCAGTCGTCCCCGCGCTAACAATCGGAATTTGTGCACTGTAAATAACGTGACTGAAATCATCTTTTTCGCGGGGCTACGACGCTCTCCTCTTCTTTCTTTGCAAGCGCGAGAAGTCTGCTTTTTTCGTAACTCCGCTTTTGTTAATCTATAATCGCGTCAGATTTGCATATGCGCAACGACTTCTTTCGAATCATACTGACATCGCCGTAACGTACGTGGTTCGAAATTGACTTCTGCTTCTTCATCCGGAGACGATCTTAACGGGATTAGCCAGCTCGCCTGTTCGACGAAACGTTTATAAGCAAGACACTCATGAGAAATGGGAATTGCAATGACAAAACGAATTGACTGATAAGAACAATAAAGTTGAAACGAAGCTATGTTCTGAAATGTTTGTACATTTCCCTTTTTCACGAAACAGCGCGAAGGCATACATTCGTGTTTGGCTTGGCTTACATAGGTTGTGACAGAATGTTTTCTTCGGGAGAACTCCGAAATTGCACCCAGAAAGCTGTAACATCTTTCCCACGCGAAGAGAATGTCCTTCACTCATGAGCTGGCACCCATTTTTTAACTTTCAAAGCAGCGAATGTCCGTGAGAATTTTTTTTTCGTTGGTCACCTCGCACGGAGATAGGCAAAACCAATGCATTTTCGAGAATTTGTCTGCCAGTGGAGACTCCGAGCTCGCCAGGGGCGCTGCAATCACTTTTCGCCCGTTTTCCGCGGGAGTTGCCAGTATTGGCTTCCACGGTATTTGCTGATACCTCTTCTACGACCGTGCACATTCGGTCAGACAGCCAGGCAGTTATCAGACGAATTCATAAGCACCATACTTTCCCCTCATCTACACCCAGCCGTGCACGGCCTCCGTGCCAAGCTATCTACCAACAGTCGCATCCTTCTCAAATAGGTACCGGCCCACTCAGGGGTAAGGGGCAATGGGACTGCCCCGTCACAAACCACAGCACTCTTGAGATTACAAGCAGACTCTCCTCGCTCCCTGAGCTGGGAAGACTGGGTCGCTCCACCTGATCCGACCCTTTTCAACTCGTATTGTACCGCTCTTCTACGCCGTATCACAGAAGAAACACCCATACAACATCGAAGAGAACGACGAAAGTGCGACTGAAAGAAGTGACAAATCACAGCACCCCCCCCCCCCCCCCCCCCCGCACTCTACACAAAGGGTGAACAAAGTGTTTTCTCCCTCTCACACACTAAAAGATTGTTACTTCAGCTGCATGAGGCAAAGTGGTTTGTTGACATTCCCCGACAAGGCCGACCTCTTTGATTATTTAGAATAGTCTCTGCTCCGCTCAAGGGACACTCGAACGGCGTTGAAGTGGCCGGTACACGTGTTGTAACATTCTTCACTTGTCAGGAGTTACAAGTTCCGCCCCTACATTTAACTTCATTCTAAAATTTCACCTAAAGTTTGCCCTTCATACAGGTGTACTCGTCCACGCGTCTACTTGGTGAAAGCGCTTAATTTTTTTTTGTTCGTAAAAATGTTACCGATCAACCGGTTAAACAATCTAATCGCGATCAAAGCATTATTCAATTAACCGATCGGTTAATTGATCAATTGCCTATCCCTAGCTAAAATTCCTTACTCTATAAGAGCCCGCAGCGTCAACCGCATCATTTAGCTCTAGGCGCCGGCCCCACAGCCAACACGTCAGAAAAAATACTGTCCAAGGCGTATCTCCTATTACGATCCCAATGGTCACAGAAAGACCGTCTGCAGACTTGTTGGGATCCCACGTGCGTGTGACGCAAACACGCTCCGAACACGCATGCGCGCGTCTTGCCCCTAGATGATTCTGTCATCGTGTCCGTCAGTGTGAGTGTGGCCGTGGTACGTCCGTCCACATCGATGAGGCGCCGTGCATGAACCATCCAAGGCCCGAATGTAGTCAGACTTTGGTGGGGCCTTGTCGGTATCCTTTTCTTATTGCAGTACCGCCGGGCCCTTCGTGCGAGTGCGACCAAGGCCTGAACGAGGAACTGGGCGACCCCGTCCAGCACCCGGACCGCCAGTGCGGCGGCGCGGTCAACGAGTCCGTGCACCGGAAACCGAGGCGACGGTGCTCCCGTTGCGTCTGCCTGCCGGGCTACGTGCGCAACAGGCGCTGGGAGTGCATCGCCGAGGCCGACTGCACCCGCTGCGAGCGGCGATCGAACGAGTACTACGTCACTTGCGGCTCCCCTTGCGTCAAGTACTGCTCCAAGCCCGTACAGAAGTATTGTTCTCTTGAGTGCAGGACGGGCTGCGTTTGCGCAGAAGGCTACATCAGGTCGGTGGGAACGGCGGCCCCTTGTGCGAATTAAGTGCAAAACATGCATGTTGACAATATTCACCATAAGGAAGGTGGCCCAGAGAAGGTGTCCGTATACCCCTCTCTGTGTTACCTTCCTTACGGTAAACTTTGTGCGTACTTTCTCCGTGTCTGTGCGTGTGCGCGCCCGTAACGAATTGCGGCAACTGTAATGGTAACTTAGATGTGTGCGTGAGTTTGTGTGCTTCTGCGCGCGTGAGCGTGTAAACGCGAGTGAGTGCGTGTGCTTACGTGCATGTGCATGCACGCACACCTATGTGTTTGCGTGAGTGTCTGTGCACCCGGGTGCGCTTGCTTACATGCGAGCGCTGCTGTGCTTGCGTGTGTGTGTGTGTTTGTAGAAGTGTAAATGTTTACGTGTGTGCTCGCGCGCGTGCCTGCGTGCTCGCATGTGCGAGCGCAGATGTGCGTGCGTGTGTACGTGTGTATGTGTGTGAGTGTTTGTTGCCTGCGTGCGTGTGGGGTGTGAGTTTAGGTATACTAGGTATCTGTGTGGGCGCCTTTGCATGTGTTGCGCGCGTGTGCATGCATATGTAGGAAATATCCTTTTAACTCCAATTTATTCAAAAAAAGTGAAAAGTACACTAATGCGGTTTTTTTCAGGCCCTCACGATAAGTCAAATAAGTATTGCAAAATTCTTCATTAACATTTTATTTGTGGAAAATAAACATATGGCTTGAATTAGAAACTTGGTGAGCTTGATTGAAAACCCCTAAATTAATCAATTTTTAAAATGATTTTAAGCGCGGGGGCGCACTGCAGTTTTTGCTCGCGCAGCAGACCCTGTGGCGCGTGCGGATGAAAAGATTATCATCGACGTTTTCAGACCGCCAGCGCTGCGTCTGTTGCACGAGTGGACGCTTTAAGCACTTCTGCGCTTACCACGTGCTTAAAATCTGTCTAAACTTAACTGATTTGGTGGTTTTCAATCAAGCTCAATAAGATTCTAATTTAAGTCATATGTTTATTTTCAATAATTAAAAAAAATTGAACACATAGTAGGTCATATTTAAACGTATCGTGAGTATTAGTCCCTAATAGTGTTCTTGCACGAGAGGCCCATGACGCAACGCTACTACCGGTCCGCAAATCTCACCGGAACCCACCGGAATCCATGTTGGAGGCATTCGTCGCTGTTATATGCTATGTATTGTGTGCCTTGGGGTCTTTGGGGCCGTGTTCGCACTGTAGTTTGTCGGCTCACTGGAAGTTTAAAATGGCCAGTTGCGCCGTAACTAATTGTTCCAGCCGTAAAAGTCGGCGACAACGGAGCTACGGCCAGCAGTATTGGTTTTTCTACTAGAATGCCGGAAACCATTAGGAACCAGGACAAGGCGATACTCGAACAATCGGTTCGCCGGCGTTATAAATAGCTCCGTCGGATGGACGGTACCTCGACCAGGCGGAGCAGAACGAAGAAGAAAGCAGACGAAGGGTTTGACGTGTTCGTTTTGCCGCGACAAGCTGATGTTGTTTGAGCGCTTGCCAACTTTATGTAATATAGTTAATACGCGATTGCGGTGTTTTTATACTAAGTAGGAGAAAAAATAACAAAGTAGAGACCTTACGGGTGATGTTCTGCTGCTTAGTTGTGCATATTTAGGCGTCGTCAGCAATATCGGCTCATCGGGGCCGCCAACTGGGGCCGCCGATGCGCGCTTCTGTGCCCCGTCATTCCGAAGCGGCCAAAGGCATGCAGTGTTATAGGCGTTTCCGAAGAAAAGTGTCAAAATACGTTACTCGTTACTTGGAAATAAATGGAACGCGTTACCATCTTACGTTACTTCCAAATAAAAGGAACTCGTTACCGTTACCGTTAGTGACAAAACGTAACGCACGTTACTTTTGTGTCACTTTTGTATTTATGAATTGACATGTTTTCCTGTTTTGACGTTAGCGGTATGCGTAAGCGCCATATGAGGAGCGTAAGTTCGTCTGCTTCTTGCACAGGCGTTGCGTTGATGTCAGAATGCCGAGCGCTGATTGGCTGATTGAAAAAAAAAAAAATAGTGGGTTGACCTCAAGTCCTTTAGCATTGAGATTCACCCACTATCCTTTCAATCCATGCCAATCGGAGCTCGGCATCAGACTAATATAACCGCAATTCCTTCGCAGAAAGCAGACAACTTGCTCTTTGCATTTAAGAAACAACAATAAAAAAACATTATGTCCACGCACAAACTGAACATAATTACCTTATTTTTTTACGACTAACAAAACAAAAAAGAAAGACGCCAAAAACTCAACAATTCACACGGCTTGGTCCCTAAAAACACGAAAAAAGTTGAAGTGCATAATATATTTTAAGTTTTCGAGAGAATATGTAACGAGTAACGTAACTGCTTTACCCTTTTCTCGAAATAAGTAACGTAAGTTGACCGTTACTGTTTTGAAAATGTAACGAGTACGTTACTACGTTACCGAAAAAATTGATGTGTTACCGGTAACGCCGTTACTTGCAACGCGTTTCCGCCAACTCTAAATGCATAGAACCTTTCACTCTAAGCTATTATATTAACGTACGATCTCGACAGAAAAGCTTTGTACACCAATTAAGAGTTTGTGGACTGCACATCAAGTCAAGAACCTTTTTGTGATTGACTTAGACAAGCACATATATTTTGAATTGTGGTTAAACAAAGAGGGCTCTATGACTCTACGGCACTAATGCTGCCGCAATATAACGCCGAATGCCTCCAACATGGCGCCACTGCGCTGATAGCAGACGACAATGTTGGTTTTGATTTTGAGTCTAGCCGGAAGTGATGTCATGTGCAAGAAACCTACACAAGGAGGCTTTAGTGGACAGGAGGTGGTGTCTGTATCCTCCATACATGAAGCGAAGTGGAACGGAAGTATAGGCGTGGCCGCCAAATGTCGTCTCAGTCCCTAGACAATATTTTCCCTCTATCTTCTTTCTTTTACTAAGTTCCCCATCATTTAGCAGTCTTGGCTAATTTTCGTGACAATTATAAAACTCAGTTAACTTACGTCTCTATGAAAATATGGTGTAAACAATCCTCGCTGCCACGACATTGCATTGGTAACGCGGGTGTTTGCGCAGTATTTGTATGCCAGCGTCCACTGCATCGGGGTCGAACAGGTGAGATTTGGAGGCGTGTGGCGTACGCTCTCGACACGAATCCCGGAGAAAAGCTCACCGGAGAATAGCTCACCGGAAATAAGCTCAACGGAGAAAAGCTCACCGCAAAACCAGCGGATGCGGCGAAAAGCTCACCGACCATTGAGCGTATGCGGAGAAAAGCTCACCGATTTTTTTCTTCTTTTTATATAAAGCTGTTAAATTACGCGTAACATATGTCAATTTATTATTATTAAAAATCGCCAGCTTTGTAAAAAAAAAAATTCTTTTTTCTAATATTTGTTAAGCTTGCGGTATTGGGTATATTGCTCACAAATCAATAATTACGGGTGAGTGTTTTCTGTGACTTACTCTCTAAGCAACGAAAGCCTTGAAAACTTTGTGAAGTTGAAGAACAGGAAAAAGTTCGAAAACGTAGTAATATGTCTGCCTAAAACCTAAAAATTCAAACTGTAAATGCCGAAAATCCAAAAGGTCATGCGCAACAACGCGGTGCCTGAAATTATCTCTGAAGCTTTTGTTAACCTTTGAAAACAGGATAAATCAGTCAATTGGATATCGAGGCTGCTTTCTTCCTCGGACATGCACGTTTTCTAGCGGTTCGTGCTGGTGTTTCCACACGTTGCCTTTGTGTGATAGTGCCCTCCTATGGCGAGCCACCCATGACCTTCAGAGCCACACACTGGCACCATTGTTACTCGTGACCTAAATAATAAGTGGTCCTCGGTAAGGGTAGCGAATAGGGAGAGTTTGTGAAGGTCATGCCTGATGAAAACCGCTCAAGCGACGACTACGGAGTGAAGACAACAAACACGACAGGACGAAGCTGTTCTCGCAACTAAAGTTTTGTTAGTGAAATTAACAGAAAGAAAACAGCGTAGCCGACACTGATTACATCCACCTACTTCTCTATTAGGCACTACACAATATTTGGAGCTGAAATGGTTCACACACCGCTATACATATTAGCTCGCAAAGAACGAACCTCTTTATCTGACAGCTACTGACGGCGCACTCTCAGCTGTCAATAAAGCGTTGTCTTTTTTTTTTGCCGGTGTACGATGTTCTGATATTATACCCATGCGGCTTCATTAATATACAAAATGGGTGATTATAAATTTCTGAGGAATAATTAGATATGCCCAATGAATCAAGAATATTACAAAAAAGAGGAAATATTTCTAATGAAGTGACGAATGCGAATTGTCTTTAATTGCCACGTTTGACGCGGAATCCTTTAAGTTAAAAAAAAAAAAAAATCGGCGAGCTTTTCTCCGCATCTGCCGGTTTAGCGGTGAGCTTTTCTCCGGTGAGCTTTTCTCCGCCGCCCCTCGACACCGCGCCGGGAGCGTCGTGTCGTGAGCGAGTCGTCATAGCCAGACTTTGGAAACCGAGCGCGTCAGTCGTCGTACGCGCGAACGCTGAGAATGGCTCCGCGGGTTGAGAAAGCCATCCAAGCCCTGCTTCCAGGAGGTGCTCGTTTCTCTCCGCCGTGATGAGAATCCAGGGTCGCATCGAAACTTCTTTTGGTGCGCCGATAGTATGGTGCTTGGAGCGCGTCTCCGACTGGTGTGTTTAGTGTCCTATTCCGCCCATACATCAAAAGTGATCCTCAAGTGGGAGCAAATGACGTCACAGAAGCCGGAGTGTCATGCTGTTGCCTGTCGCGATCCCGGCGGTTGGCCGTAGAAATGCTGGCGAAAAGCACGAGCGAACGCGAGTGTCGCTGTCGTCACGGCGTCCCAACTTCCGGCTGCTTCAGCTTCCGTGGACTGTCACAGTAGAGAGCGACCTGCAGCAGAACAGGCGTCTGCCACAACTGTTGGGACGCCGCCAGGATCGTGACCGGCGACA